CCCTGCCCTCCTCAAAGAAGCCTCCCTGGGAGCAACTTCCCATTGGTGTGTGCCAATATGCCAAGGTCTTCTCTGTTTCCCTCGCCACTTGGAGGAGTATCTGGCCCCTCCCATTTCAACAGCCTTATGCTGATGACCCAGAATCTCTAACTCCCCACTACAGCCCTGGGTCCCTTTTACTGCCCATACAACTGAGAGGCTTTTTTCATGATGTTTGCCCTGGGCGCAAAAAAATCATAGTAACAGGTCAATCCACCACTACCACTCCAAATCCAGTTCTTTTTTTTTCCTTTCTTTTTTTTTTTAAATTAATTTATTTTGATTTGTCAACAATCACTTCCATATGCTTTTGAGTTTAAAATGTTTCTCCCCCAAATCCAGTTCTAACAGCACGAAGTACACGGCTGCTGGTGCTTGGATCTAGGCTCCAAGTGTAGTTGACACTGTCTAATTTACCTTTTAGGTCAGCGTTAGAAGGTCTCACTGCACTTTTTGCTTCCCCTCACAGATATATGGATTAATTCATGCAAGCCTGATACTGTCACCGCTGAAGATACAGTCACTCCACTGACTGTATCGGCCACAACTGAATTTAATATCAGTGACCTAGCTGGTACAGCAACACCATCTCCAGCCCCACCGCCTAACCCAGCACGGCAAAGATGGAGCAAAAAATTAATTTGTGTGACAGAACTGTATTTTGAAACAAGCACTATGGAACCGAGTACTGTGCCAGAAGCCATACCAACTTTTGAAAGCCAAGTTGCATTTAAGAATGAAGGTGTTACTTTTGGAGGTAAAGAAGAAGGGGAGAGGGAAGGAAATAGTCATTTATATTGCCTGCTATGTACTAGGCACTGTGCTAAGTGAGCACTTTATCAATATACAACTCTGCAAGGTAGGAGCTGTTATTATCCCCATTTTACAGATGAGGAAACTGATGCAAATGGAGTGAATCCTCTTGCTCAGGTTCACACACCTAGTAAATGTCTAAGGCTGGATTTGAACTTAAATCTTCCTGACTCTAGGCCCAGCACTCCATTCACTGCTCCACAAGGCAGTGTGTGTATTATGTCTGTCTCTGCATGAGCATGAGCATGAGTCCACAGTATTGACCAGCTGCAGAAACCAGTCTACTTGCAAAATCCAGAGTGAGCCAAGAGTAGAAAGCAAGGTCCTAGGTCTTTTCCCTGGGTCCAAATAGAAGAAATTGAATCCCTCTTCTCTATAATAACCCTCCTAATAGCTGAAGTCAGCTTCCAATCATTAGGGACCAAGTTAAAGAGTAATGAATTTAAAGTCAGAGGCCTTGGGTTCAAATGCCACCCCTGGTACTACCTGGATGACAAGGTGAGATTTGGGCACATAAGTTACTTGACATCTCCAGTCTTCAGTTTCCCCATCTGTCAAATGAGAAGATTGAACTCAATGGCCCTTAAGTTTACTCCCAACTCTCAATCTATGATCCAGTGTCCCCCATCGATATCCCACCACCACTACCACCTGAGTCTTCTCATAACTAGGCTAAGCATTCTGATTTCATATAAAAAAGTATAATTTTTTTAAAAGTATAAAAAAATCAGAATTGGAAGGAAGTTTGGCAGCCATCTAATTTAATCCATACATGAACAAAACCACACTGCAATATCACCAACAAGTAACAGTCAAGGCTTTGCTTGAAGACTTCCAGTGAAGAGAAATCCCTGGGGCCATTACAGTTCAAGATAGCTCTAATGGGTAGGAAGTTCTTCCTTAGATCAAGCCTAAATCCAACCCTTTGCAACTTTCTATGTTTACCCCTTGCTCCTAGCTCTTTCCTCTTGGGATAAGCACAGCTAGTTTTCCACAAGATAGCCCTTCAAATACATGAACATAGCTATTATGTCACCCCTCAGGGCTCTCTTTTCCTGGATAACTAGTCCCATTTCTTTGAACCAATCCTTTTTTCTCCTTGTCAAAACTGTTTCTGAGCTGATTTTCTGAGGAAAATTTTACCCATGGAAACTTGCCAATTATTTCTCTAAACCAGGGGTGGGGAACCTGTGGCCTTGAGGCCACATGTGGCCTTCTAGGTCCTCAAGTGCAACCCTTTGACTAAATCTAAACTTCACAGAATCAATCTCCTATTAAGGGATCACATGTGGCCTTGAGGCTGCAGGTTCCCCACCTCTGCTCTAAATCCTTTGAAAATTGCCCTCTCCAAATCAAGGGCAAAAGACCAACTATGCCTTCTCTCAGTCCTATTCCTCTCCTGTATCACAAATTAGAGTATGGAGTGATCACTTTCTCCCAAAGTTCCTAACATTTCCTCCCCAGCAACCAATTCCACCATACTGGTAAAAATTAGATCCAGCATGGAAGTTCCCTTCATTGGTTCTTTTGTCTTTTGAAGAATTAAATTAGTATTAAAACAAGTATCTAGGTGGTGCTATGGATAGAGTCAGGAGGACCTGAGTTCAAATCCAGCCTCTGACGCTTATTATATGTATGACTCTGGGCAAGTCTCTTAATCTTGTTTGCCTCAGTTCCTCATCTATAAAATGAGCTAGAGGAAAAAATGGCAAACTGCTCCAGTATCTTTGCCAAGAAAACACCAAATGGGGTCAAAAAGAGCTGGACACAACTGAAATGACCCAACAACAACAAAAAAAGAAACTATTAGCTGTTCTCCTTTGGTCAAAGAGAGAGGTCCTGCCGATGTCCTGATCATCAAAAATCCCCCATGACTACCATACTTGGCTTCTGAATCAGACTCACTTCCTGAATCCCTCTATATCCTCCTTCTGTCCAGGTGGTCTATAGTATACTCGGATGATGATAACACTTCTGTTTCTTCCTCTGGTCATCTTTACTCAAATGCTGTTTCTCACCATGTTTCTCCCTTCTGTTTCCTAGATTTGCTTGCAAGATTATGTTTTCCTTCTTCAGTACAGTGTTGTTCTGCCCTTTTACATGTCTTTCATCATGCCTTCAACTTATCCCTTAATGACTTGGTTTCAAGACATGTTGTTTGCCCTCCTCTCAACACCTTTTGGTTTGTGTGGTCCTCCTAAAATGTGGTGCCCAGAACTGAACACAATTGGCCCTCCAGATATGTGTCATCCATCACAGAGCTATCACCTCTCTTGTTTTAGACACAATTTGATTAATATCATTTAAATTTGGATTTTCTTACATGACAAAGATCTGAATCAGTCCCTATATGTAACCAGGGAAGACTTGTCAAAGACTTAACCTTAGCTCTTATCAGTGCGTGAATGACCAAAGGCCTAAAATGACATGTACACAGTCAATCTCTTTGTTTGTCTCTAGGCTTACCTATCACACTCTTGGTTCTTGCTCTGATATTCTTCATTGCTGCGGTTGTGCTGGCTGTCTGCTATGTGAAAAGGTGGGTCTTTTAGCCTGTTCAACCAGCTTGGTGGTATCTGTAGATTTGTCCATTCTGCATGGAGTCTGAGAGGCTGTTGGACTAAACAGATGTTTATCCAGTGTCGACTACCTGAAAGAACTTCAGGAGATTAAATACAAAGGTAGCCTGATCCCTGGCTTCAAGGTCTCATGGGAAGGTGGGGCAAGTACACAGATGACTACCATACAAGGTAGATTATAAATTCCATAAGACAGGTACCAAGAAGGCATTAGGTGAGATATTACTTCTGATTAAGAGAATCAGGGGAAACTTTGTGGATGGGGCGTTTGAGCTGGGACATGAATGACTGATGAAATTTCCCCAGGGTGAGTTATTTTGGGTGGGGAGGGGGAGAAGGAAGTGAGAGCATTCTAGTCATGGACAAGGCATGTCCAAGAGACAGAATATAGCCAATATGGGCTGGATCATAGAACACATTGAGGACAGAAGTAGGAGATAAGGCTAAACAGATAAGGTGGCATCCAATAATGGAGGGCCTTGAAGGCCAGGCTAAGGAGCCTGGGCTTAATACAGAAGTGGTTATTATGGTGTATGTTGCATGGAAGTTTTTCACTTTTCATTTTGTTTTGTATCTCAAGGTACATGACCTCCTTCCCATTGACAAATAGGAATCATAAAGAAAACATGGAGGCCAAAGGAGGAAAAGCAGCAAAGGCAGAGGACAAAGTTTCTAAGGAGGAACCAAAGAAAAATGAGAAAAAGGCAGAAGAACCCAAGATGACGCCCAAGATGACGCCCAAGATGACACCCAAGATGACGCCCAAGATGACAGTCAAGTACATGGAGGCTGAGGTTTAGGGGGTCAGAGGGACAGCAGAAGACACACCTGGGATCTCTTTACTCTGCTCCAGGACCTGGAGGCCAAGGATACCTCGTAACCGGAAAAAGCTCCTTGTATTTCCCCACTAGAAGAAACTGCCAGACCCAATGGATCCAATCAGGAAAGCCCATAATCAATCCCTGACCAGAGGACTCAGGGTTCCCTGGGGTTTGGGGAGCTCATTCAGATGACTTCCCTATTCCTTCCTGCCACCTGCCCATTCCTGGGCCCCAGCCTATAGACCCAAAGCTCCTATTCCCTAATAAAATCCAGGTGAGAGAAAGTGGATCTGTCCGGCCCGATCTCTTAGGAACATTCCCTGTACATTTTTGTTAGGAAACCTTTTAGTGGCCTGGGAAGAGACCATCTATGACTGAAGAGTCCATAAGGCCCAGTGCTGTCTTCCTTGTTACCCTATCAAAGAGCAAGGCTTCCTACAGCCCTGTACTGACCTTCTGAGCTTAGATATCTTAGGCAGGGGAATGAATAGGAAAAGGGTCAATGTGGTGGGGAGTGGGGGGCAGAGAGGCCAGTGGACCTCCATGTGACATGGAGCTAAAAGAAAAAAGGGAAACATATGTGAACAGCACATCATCTCATGAAGTCTTAGACATGGAATGAATCTTTAGACCTTCTAGGCCAGTTTTGTGTCTTGGGCTCCTTCGGCAATCTAGTGAAGCCCATGGGCCCCTTTCCAGAATCATGTCTTTAAACACATTAAATAAATAGGATTCCAAAGAAAACCAATGATATTAAGGTGAAGATGTTGTTTTTCACACCTAGATTCACAGAACCCCCTGAAATCTAAGAACTCCTGATCCAGTCCAATTCCCTTCTTTATGAATGGGGAAACTGAGACCTGAGAGTAGAAGTGACTTGCCCATGATTTTACAAGTAACTACTCATGGCAGAAGAAAGATTTGAACCCAGGTCCTGTGCCTCTCTAGCTGCTTTTCATGCCACTCTGCCACCCTGGCAAATCAGCTAGAATAAATCTCGTTTCTACAGCATGTTAAGGTTACCAAAAAACTTTGACCTGCTTTTTTGAACCTGAGCTGATTCATACCCTCCTTAGATGGCCTGGCAGTTCCCAGTTCCCCTAGGTTCTCCCCATATTGATTTCCCCCTACCATTCTAGTCCAGAGCACCCCTAAATTCCTGAGGCAGAGTGATCTTCCAACCTCAGCCTCCTTAGGAGCTAGGACCATAGGCAAACATAGTTCTCTTGCAACAACCCAGTAAGGGTAGGTGATGCAAGTATTGTCCTCACACACAAACACACACACACACACACACACACACACACACACACACACACACAAAACACATCCATTTTACAGGTGTGGAAACTGAGGTGCAAAGAGATTAGGAATCTTGCTCAGGGTCACTCACCCTAAAGTACCTGAGCTGGGATTTGAACCCTAGATCTCCTGACTCAAAGCACTGACTAAACAGTAGGTTATAAACCCTGAAGGAGCCATTTCTCCCCAGAGAACTTCAGTTATGATCCTTTCTCAGCATGCACTCTCTCCTTTTGCTGTTATTTTATTTTGGGAATGCATTGTCCCATAGCAATGTTAAGAGGAGACAGACTGAACAACCAGATCACAGCCTGGGACTTTCTGGTGTACAGGAAATCTTTCATCCAGAAGAAAATGACTGGGCCCAGAAAGCAATGACTGCAATCAGCAATTTCCTCTGTACCAGCTCCTACGCTTCCTAAAGACCTTCTGAGATGTGGGTGCTCCCTCCATCCATAAGTCCCAGCCCCATTCTCCTTAGTACCTTAGTCAACAGGCCTCATGGGATGCAATGGCCTTGAAATTCAAAGCCTGACCAGCCCCATAGGACCTGATAGAACTTCCACTCCACCTTCAGCAGCCCAGGGTCCCCAACCATGGCACAATGAGGCAGGAAAGGCAGACCCTAGAATATTATGGAAAATTGTACCAAATGTACCAAAAGAGAAAGTGAGAGACTTTGTTTCTACTCAATGACCTTGGGCAAGTCACTTTCACTCTGAGGGTCTGTAAAATGGGGATAATAATACTTACCTACCTACCTCTTGGGGTGTTGTGAGTAGAGCTCTTTGTAAATCTTAAAGCCAGGAGTGTGCTAGTAAATATTTTACAACCAGCTCTCGAGGAGGGGGAGAAGGATTACACACAACACACTTCTAAATTTAATCTGCATAGGCAATCAATAGAATAATGAAGTAAGCCCTGATCTGTAGTATTTGCCAATTTCCTAAATGTAAATGCTCACATTGAAAATTTAAGAATTGGCTCTCTGGGAGTGGTAGGGTGAGGCGGCTCCATCCCACCCCTGCTTAAAGCTGTATGTAAACAGTGAGCTATCAGACGACCCATTTATAAAATATGGGCATTCCAATGAAACTATTTCTAAGGTCCTCCATACCCTGAAATTCTGTGATCTGATTTTGTCAGACACTACCTTCTGGATAACCTTGAATGAGACCTAGCTCTAGTTCTAATTCTCTGTTAAACCTCGGGCAAGTCGCAGTCCTCTCTCTTTGCCTCCTTTCTCATTTGTAAAAATGAGTTAACATGGAGTAGTGAATAGAGTATTGGGCTTTGAGCCGGGACTATCTGGGTTCGTATCCTGCCTCAGACATTTACTAGCTATATGACTCTTGGCAAATTATTAACCTCTTTGTGCTTCAGTCTGCTCATTTATAAAATAAGGGGGTTGGATTAGATGGCCTCTAAGTTCCCTTCTGGCTCTGAATCTATGATATTATGACTCCATGAAAAGAACTCTTAACTCTAATGTACTAGGATTCCGATGTATGTTTCTTTGTTTTAATTGTGAGTTCCTACAGCTATTCTACTTACTAAACTATGGCATTTTATGCTGGGACTAATATATTCTTCAATGAAGTATTTTCTCAACTGTAGTTGTAATTGTAACCTTTATTTATTAGAAGTGTATTCAAGGATTCTGTAAGTAAGCCATGGGGTCTGTTAGTACCATTGACTAATGTGCCATCATGGCCTTGGTCTTTCTTTCCAGTAAAGAAAGAACCTAGCCTGTCCAAGTGTGCACTGAGGAAATAAAATCATTTAAAACACCTTTTGGTCGCCATGTTGGATTCCAAGGCACCATATCCACTTCCAGGGGAGTAAAAGTGGACGACAAGCCAAAACCTGACTCTTACTAAGTGATGAAAAGATGAAAAGAAACTATTAGGCTGCTATGAGGAAACAGAGATGTTGGGTGGCTGAAGTGGTACTTCCTCTTTCCTCCATATGAAGAAATTCTACCGGGAAAGGATACCATGAGTTTCATGGACAAGCCAATGTCACTGGCTGTTTGAGCTTTCTGTCTGGGCCAATCAGCTTACTGTGGTTCTGATTGGTTGGGATACTGTTACCACATCACTTGATGCCGAAGATAGCTCAGCCAGATGGAAACAGAATGTGGGACTGATAGAAGACATTAACTCAATCTTCCTTGTTCCCCACCCTTTTCTTGATTTGACATGGTGCAGGGGAGAATTTGGGGTCAGAAGAGCCTGACTTTGCTGTGAGACTTTAGGCAAGAAACATACTAAACATGTGACCATGAACAACTCACTTAACCCCCCTGGGCCTCAGTTTCCTCCATTGTAAAATGGGGGGGTTGGGCCAGATGGTATCTTGGGTACCTTCTAGTTCATGACGCGTTGATCCTAAGTCACTTCACTTCATTATTTGGGCCTCAGAAATTTCCTCATCTGGAAAATTATCGGGTGGGACAAAGTGACCTCTAATGTCCATTCTAGTTTTAAACCCAATAAGCAGTCCAACCATGGGGAGATTGCTTGGCTCTTTTAGAAATAATGGAAACAGCAGAAGCCTTAATTGAATCTTCAGGCTGCTTCCTGGTGTCTCTCTCCCCTCTACCCCTTCAGCTACCAGAGCTGGGGTCCTCCCAGCTGGAGCCCTGAGTATCCCCAGTGTGAATGCAGCCCTGTGCCACAATAAAAATTCTTTCTGATCAAAGAAAGGGAAACTCAGTCCCTCCAAGAAGAGAATTTACAATAAAATGTTCAAGCCAAAAGGGATCTTAAAGATCACTTGCTTCAACCCCCTTATTCTACAGATGTGAAAACCGAGGCTTAGAGAGAACTGACTGGCCCAAAGCCACTCTGGGAGTTAGCAGACAGCTAGGATGACAGTCCAGTTCTCCTGGCTCATGGCTCAGTGGACTTTCACCTGCCTCAAACCTGATGTTGGCTGCTTCTCAGCTGTCTTCCCACGGAAACTGTGATAACATGTATATTTCAAGAAGGGACTGCAATTAGGAACACCCAGCTTTGGGCCACCAGAAATGCCCAGTTCTAAGTGCAGGCACACAAAGCTGATGTAACCAAGGATGTCTGCCTTTAGTTTCTGAGAGATGAATGCCTCTTCATGTCACGTCATGGAAAGTTCTAGGCATGAGCACTGCCACTGCTAGGTCTTCTCTAGCCTCAGACCCTTACTAGCTGTGTGACCCTAGGCAAGTCACTTAACTTCTGTTTGCCTCAGTTTCTTTATCTGTAAAATGTGCACTCCTTCCCAGGGTGGTTGTGAGGATCACAGTGCCTGGCACATAGTAGCCGCTACATAAATGTTAGTTATTATTTTTGTTGTTGTTGTTTTTCGTCCTGTGTACGTCTTAGGCAAGAACTGGGAGCGGGCAACAAGCTTTATTGTAGGAGATGGCCCCTGACTCCAAGAAATATATGAAAATGAAGAACAAATTTCCATAGTTCTTTTTGGGGTGAGGGAAAGACATAAAAGGCTAAAGGTGAAGTCAATTCATCTTTTTAAATTATGAACAGGAACAGATCAAGAAAGTCCTCATTGGTGGAGCCAAGATGGCAGAGTAAAAGCAGTGATTTACTTGAGCTCTCCCCTAAACCTCTCCAAATACCTGTAAAAAAAATGGCTCTAAATTATGAACAGGGACCATAAAATGTTAGCCAATAAATAGAACAACTATATTATACTTTCTGTGAAGGGAGGGGTCTTTGAGAGGAAAACTGAAGAGAAAGACAGAGGCAGAGGGGGAAGGAAATAAATCAACAAAGGAGAAAAAAACTGGCAGAGGAGGAAAGGGGGAAGAAGAGAGAAAAGAAAACAGAAAAGCAAAGAGAGGGAGGCTGAAGTGGAGAGATGAAGAAGACAGAGAGATGTGAAGAGGGAGTGATGGTAACTACAGCATCTACTCTAAGAGTTTCCCTCACAATAGCCGAGAGAGAAGGGAAGTCCAAGTATTATGATCCCCACTGCACAGCTGAGGAGATTGAGGCTCAGAAAGGCTTAGTGGCCTCACAGAATTGCAGAATTAGAGGGAATGTCAGGGTCCATCTTGTCTGACCCCTATCTGAACAAGGATCCCCTTGACAACACCCCAGTGAACGGCCATCCAGTGAGGGAAAGCCCATCCCTTCCCAGGCAGCTACTTCTGGGGAGCTTTAACTGTGAGGAAAGTCTTTTATAGAATCAAACTTATATTCTCCCCTTTGCAGGGAACATGGATAAGTATACTACAGTGCATAGGGTTCAAATCTCATCTCTGACACTTATTGACTAGATAATCTTGAGTAAGTCACTTGTCATTTACCCTCTATGCCTCAGTTTCCTCATCTGTAAAATAAGGAGGTTGGACCCAGTGGCTTCAAAAATCCCTTACCAGCTCTAAATCTATGATTCAGCAAAGGAGATTGAAGAATTACATAGGAAGATAATCAAGAGAGA